CTTAGAAAAGCAAAAACTGAACAAATTAGCGAATTAATAATTTTTTTATATCTTTTCAAAATAGTGTCCATTTACCAATATAACGATGCATCCGATGAAACCACTGAGAAATTCACTTTGCGCACTTTGCGTCGTTAGGGGTCTCTTCGACGGCATTTTGAAACGCAGCCACTGCTTTCTCGGCGTCCATAAAACGTTTTACTCGAAGTTTTTCTTTTATTTTCGGAAATAAATATAAATTGCAAGGTGCGAGATCGGGGTTTATAGGGTGGGTGACCCAGTAATTCCACGTCTGACGTTGCCAAGTAGTCGATTGTTTGCATGGCGGTGTGCGACGAGGCGTTGTCGTGGTGAAGGAGGATTCTACTGCGAAGTCGCTTCTCCCGAACTTTTTCCAAGACAAGTGGCAAACAATTGTTAGTGTATCACTCTACAGTAACTGTTTTTCGATCTTCTAAAACAATTGTTGCGTAATGATCTGTCTTTCCGAAGAAAGTGGTTACCATCTTTTTTCCCACGCTTCGACCTCTCTTCACTTTAGTTGGCAACTCCTCGGAAGGAAACACCCAGACAGCAGACTGTCTCTTCGTTTCAGGATCATAACAATAAATCCAGCTTTCGTCACCTGTTGGTATATCGAACACAGCATTTGAGTCTTCTCCGTTAAATCTTTGAACCATTTCACGAGACCAATCAACACGGTAGAGTTTTTGGGCCTTTGTCAAATTATGAGATATCCACCGAGCACAAAACTTCCTAAACGCTAAATGTTCATAAAGGATTTTGTGCATTTGACTTATACCAATATCCAAGCTTGTCCGTGTCTGTTGAGAAGTCATTCTTTTGTCAGTCTTTATCATACGCCGCATATCACTGATGTTATATTCAGTCGTCACCGTAGAAGGCCTTCCCTCACGCAGATCATCGGTGAGATTAGTGCGACCACGTTTAAACTCATTAAACCAGTTGTAAACAGTGACACGAGATGGGGCTTTATCGTAGTAGGCCATTCGAAGTCTATCATATCTTTCTCTTTGACTTAAAAAACATCGAAAGTCAAAATAAAATTATTGTACGAAAATTTTCTCGCGTTAAATTCATGCTGACGTGATACAAACAATATTCAATTTGCCGTCAAATCGTAATCAAATGAAAAATAAATAAAATAAATACATAATTATATTGAAATAGAGTTTCATTTTCAAAATTTGAACTTATTTTTTTATTATATCGTTTACAAGTGAAGAGTTCTAAAAACTTTCAGTGGCGCCCTCGTGTTATTTAATTTTTTTACATGATTGTGTGTATCTACAAAGTAATATCACAATAAGAGTAATATTATGTTGCACAGCAAACTTGTTGTATTGTACCACAAGTAGATGAATAATTCGAAATTTCCCTGAGAAAATCCTAGCCAACACAACCACTATAGTGGCTATTTTAACTAAAACTTGTCTCGAGAAACAACAGTTACATCTACAATACTTAACTTAATAGTCCTTTTTTTAAATACACTTTTTAAATATTAAAAATGGTAAAGCAAAAATGTCAAGATGAGTAAAGTTATCATTATATGATTTTATGATACGCCGTAGTAAAGCTCGCTCTCTAGCCTTTGTGCGGCACATCTTAGGAGCAAATAGGTTATGACTATACGTATTACGAATGCGTTGGGTCCGACTAGGTGTGCGTCATATATTTGATTTATAAGTTGATTACAATCTAATTTATTATGACAGATTTTGTATGAGAATAATGATCAAAGCACATATACGATGACCATTTCCTAAAGCATTTATAGTTTAAAAACCGAAGGTATTTACGTTGTACCAATTCCAACTGATCACTATATTTTTCATAATGTGGGTTTCAAACACAAGTAGAGTATTTGAGTTGTGACCTAATGAGTGACTTATGTTGCAGGTCTTTTGAATAGATTACAGGTCCTTCTTACGAAAGCACTAAGCTAAAAGCCTTTAGCCGTAATGTGACTAATATGAGCAAATGTAACTTCTAGACTATTTCTAAGGTTATTCTAAGTGTTAAAAAGAGTGTATGTGGAATGAATGACATTAATATTTTTAGTGAATGTGATCGATTTACATTTGATAAAGTTAGCTGTAAATTATTAGCTGCACAATAAGCAGACAAGCGATCTAGATCAGTTTGCAATTTATTACAATCTTTAGTTGTGTTTATTTTCCGAAAAGTTTTAAGGTCGTCAGCATATAAGAGGAAATGGGTATGTTTGAAGCAGGTATTAATTTTATTTATGAAGAGAACTAAAAGCAGCGGCCCCAAAATTGATCCCTGTGGTACTCCTGATGTCACATCTATCACATACAAAGAAAAGCCATTGACCACAACCTTTTGGGTTCTATTTTTTACATATGAAAAAAGTCAGCGTAATAAATTCCAGCGTAAGACCCTAGTATATTCAAAATTTAAGTCTCGCATTTGCAATGCAATTATGCTAATGAATGAAGATAAAGCGAGGAGCAAAAATGTCAGTAAAGGTGGTATAGTGCATTAGACAACCATATTTTAAGGCCCGTATTAATTAACGTTACTCAGCTCAAGTACACTCACTTAAGTACAATCTTGAGGTTATGATCTTATTAATAAACATACCTCAAGATAAGGCTTAGGTTTACGATGTCAGCTCTGAGTGACGCTCTGGTTAATAAACGAAACTCGCCTCTCAAGTGTGTGTACTTGAGATGTAAAATCTGAGTGCGGACAGTCCGTGACTTGAGATCGTGATTGTTGACATGAAAATTGAAAATATTTTAAGAGAAATTACGTAAAATGACGATATTTTACGCAAGGATGTAATATGCCCTATATTTTTTTTAAATGTCGAGAAAGTGTTTCTTCTCAACCTGACTATATACATGCTTTTTGCTTCCATTTTTGTATAAATAAAATTACACGCGAGACCGAAGACGTTTTAAGTAATCAAGATATTGTTTTTCAGTGTCGAAAATAATACGTCTATTTCATATTTGACACTGACTTTTATGCGTTTGGTTAGTCGTACATATTGAATTAAGTAGTAAATATTTAAGTCGTATTTAGAAATACATACACAACAGTTTAAAAAATTTACGGTTTTCGTATGTAGAAAACAACTTTATAACGTGATACAGCTCTGATTTTTTAAGTTTTATCAAAACAAAAGATTCAATAAATTACACGACATTGCAAAATGTGATAAATACGAGTAGTATTCTAAACTTCGGTCTATGTTATATTATGTTAATATAATGGATTTCCACAAAGTAACACCTGATTCTATTATTATTCGGTCTATGTGACGTAATCGTTCTGAAACTTGAGTTTGTCTTATATATTTAAACTTTTTTTAATATTATGACAGACAAATAAAAATACTATTTCAGAGCAGTTTTCAACAGTGAAATGTTTCTAGTCTGTTGAAAATGAATAAGAACATGTATTTTTAATAATTATTGTATATCATTATTTAAAAATATTTTATTAAAATTAAAGAGGAAAACGATCTTGAAGCCTGAAGTCAAATTTTATTTAAATCCTTTCAGCTAACTGAGCTTGATTGAAAGATAAACATATAAACAGACAAACTTTTACACTTATTATATAAAAAGAATAAGGAAGATTTAGGAAAAAAAGAAGATTTATATACAGGAAATGTTTTGTATATTTTAAATTAGAAGTTTTCAGTTTTTGTTTTTTTTTTTTTTTTATTTATAAATTACAGATCGTACGAGTGACAAAGAAGATGATTTAATCACAGCTCGACTATCACGCAAAGCTGCATTTATAAGTAAATTATTAAATCTTCCGAACTATACCATTAACGAATGGAAGTAAAAATTAACACAAAAAATAAAACATAAAAAATTAACATAAAAAAATATTACCACGTGGAGAAGATTAACTTAATGAATTGTTACAGGTAGAAATAAAATGCACTTCGGTTTTAATTAAAACGTAACTTTCATTTCTTTATAGATATTTTTCCCAGCTAAAAATTGAAGCTTCATTATTTTAAGTAAATTTACGTAACATACATACCCGTAATTATGCCTAAATATACGTAATACTCCCTCCACCTTGATCTCCAAAGCGTTATAAAAATCCTTTGTCCCATTTCGTGATAAAATTTACTTATATATCAAATTTTATTTAATTTCTTACAGCTGATTGAGCTTGATTGAAAGATAAACATTCAAACAGACATACTTTTACACTTTTATATAACAAGGTCAAGGAAGATTCACAAAAAAAAGGTTTATACCGAGGAAATGTTTTGTATATTTTAAATGTAAGGTTTTCCTGATTTTTTTTTACATTTATGAATTACAGATCGTACGAGTGACAAAGAAAATGATTTAATCACAATTAGACTGTCACAGAAAGCTGCATCAAAAGTAAATTATTATATGTTCTGAAGTGTACCATTAAGGAAAGGAAGTGAAATTAATTAAAAAAAAAATGACCACGTGGAGAAGCTGAGTATAATGAAAGGTTACAGGTAGGAATAAAATGCAGTTTAGTTTTAATTAAAATGTAAATTACATTTGCGTATATATATTTTTTAATTTAAATCCTTCCAGCTGATTGAGCTTGATTGAAAGATAAACATCCAAACAGACGAACTTTTAAACTTATAATATAATAAGGATAAGGAAGATTTGAATATTTACGAAAAAAAGAAAATTTATATAGAGGAAATGTTTTTCAGTAACGCAGGTATGTTTTTGTGCGTTTTGTATATTTAAAATGTAAGGTCTCTCTGTTATTTTTTATATTTATAAATGGCAATGGTCGTACTAGCAACAAAAAGATGATTTAATCATAGCTCGTCTATCACGCAAAGCTGTATTTAAAAGTCAATTATTAAATGTTTTAAAGTGTACCTATAATTAACGAATGAAATAATGTCCTGTGCCCTGCAGTGAAAATGAATATGATATGCTGCTAACTTAGTGTTTATAGTTCATTATAACTTTTTATAACTAATAGGCAGTTGTATTCGTTAAGTTATAATCAGTGCTATCAAATTGTATTAGCACTAGCTCATAGGTTACGACTGCACCTCCCATCTGAAATTATTAAGAATATTTGTAAATACACCACACACTGTAAACAACAGCAAAACATCCTTAAATAGCAAACAATTATCTGTGTCAATACAACATAATATTGAAATTAAATCATCCTGGAGAGTTTGTAAAATGTTAACGACGGTTGCTTTATAATTAAGTATATCAATGGATTCCAAATAATGCCATAAAATATCCAAACTACCGACGGAGAGCATAACAAAGATGCGAAACGTTTGATATTACGATTGTAAATAAGCCTGTGAAGTATGACAATTAGGGCGAATATTCATTTCATCCTATCCCTACAACCAAAGAGGCCCATGTTAAGCAGTGGACTTTTACAAGTTGATAAAAATTAAGAAAAATTAAGAGATTCCGTCCAAACAATGGTACCCTCTTCCAAAGGAAACTCAATACAATACAATATAATGAATATTATATATCATATTTGATATCATCAGCCATGTAAACTGCGTGGTTTGTCTAATGATCGTGAACACGATTGTTGTTCTCGGGTCTTGCTAAAATCAGTTCACGCAATTTTCTGTCAGAAAATTCTCAGTACCAGCTCGAAAATTGGCAGTTAGTCCTGCGCCTGATCTATCTCATGTCACACCGGATTGCTGTTCCGTCTGCGTAAAAGGTTGACGGTATCGAGAGTGTACCTGTGCTTACGCATACACGCGGGTACTGTAATCTTGTGTGGTTAGTCTTACTGACTCGTCGTGATCGAAATTCGGTCTTTAGAAATTACATAATATCAACCGTATTACATGCGTAAGAGATTATATTTATACTGATGATATACACATTATCAGTTATTTTTATAAAAATAGTTATAAAAAATATTACCTGTAGTAACAAGGATTTAGTAAGAAAGAAAAATCCCATTCCACTTAGAGCAACGAAGTCTTTACGTAGCTGATACTGAAGTCTATCAATCTGAAATTCAATAATGAAGCTTTAGTTAATATTATTTTATGGCATAGAGTTACAAATAAGATAAAAGTCCATGCCGCGCAGTGCGTTGATGGTAAGTATCGACATGGACACCTGCAACCAACATCACCCAGAATACTATAGATGCGTTTTCGAGAGTTGCGAGAATTACAGCGTGGCTTCTGATTGACAAACCTGATCTGATTGATTGATTGAAAAACCGGTACTTGATGTCCTTCCTTACCGTGTAGTGGCGGTCAAGAATATCCACTACCCCATATCCTCCCGTGGGTGTCGTAAAAGGCGACAAAGGGAAACAGGCAGAAGATGGGCAGCAGCATCTTCCTGATAATAGCCAAAATTATAATAAAAAAACTGCGGTTGCCAACCCGCTCGCCAAGCGTGGCAACTATGGCAAATACCCCCCAATGACTAAAGCAACAAACAGACGGCCCCCAGTCCCCGGCGGCCCCGCTATTCCTGGCTACGGTGGCGACCATGGTAACGGCGGGGCAGGGGGTGCTAAGAATCTCCGGTGGAGGTTCGGTTGCCACCTTAGACGACTCGACCTGGCAACGTACAACGCACGCACCCTGAGGACTGACGAGAAGATCGTGGAGCTGGAAGAAGAGATAGACAAGTTGCGCTGGCATATTATAGGATTATCCGAAGTCCGAAGAGAGGGGGAGGACACGGTAATCCTCGAATCCGGCAACTTGCTCTATCACCGGGAGGGCGACCATCTGTCCCAATGAGGTGTCGGATTTATCGTCCACAAGTCTCTCGTTAACAACGTTGTAAAGATCGGGAGTGTGTCGACGAGGGTTGCGTACCTTATACTCAGAATCACCAAACGGTATTCGCTGAAGGTCATACAGGTTTACGCACCAACCTCGGCACACCCCGATCAGGAGGTGGAGGAAATGTATGAGGATATCTCTAGAGCCATGCATTCCTCCAAAACCCAATATACGGTGTTAATGGGAGACTTCAATGCAAAACTAGGCACAAGAGAAAACGGTGAGCTGAAAGTAGGGAAATTTGGAATAGGGCAACGGAACCCAAGGGGCCAGCAGCTGGCCGACTTCATGGAGAAAGAGGAACTCTTTATGATGAACTCTTTCTTCCAGAAGCGGCCCCACAGGAAGTGGACCTGGTCGAGCCCCGACGGTTCGACAAAAAATGAGATTGACTTCATTATGACGACCAGACGACAACTGTTCAGTGATGTCTCCGTGATCGCAAGGGTGAAAACTGGTAGTGATCACCGAATGGTTAGAGGCACACTGAACCTAAACGTTTAGTTGGAGAGGTCTCGTCTAATGAAGTCAACGCTCCGTCCCCCTCGTGCTCTAATCCAAAGTCCCGAAACCTTTCAGCTCGAGTTACAAAATCGTTTTCAGTGCCTAGAAGACTGCAATGAAGTGGATGATATGAATGACAAGCTCGTGGAAACTGTCCATGCGGTCGGAGCTAAGTTCTGCAAGACCCGCCGCAGAAGAACACAAAAACTCTCCGATCACACTCTTAATCTCATGGCTGTTAGACGGGAGATGAAGCTACATTCTTCAACGGACTTGACAGCATACAGGCATCTGAACAGACAGATCTCAAAATGCATGCGGCGGGACTTACGCAACTTCAATACAGCTCGTATTGAAGAAGCGATCGAGCGGAACCAAGGCCCCAAAGTCTTTGCCAGAGATCTATCTGCCAGAAAGAGCCAACTGTCAAAGCTGAAGACAGAATGTGGCAGCATCGTTTCCGGGACACCTGAGATTTTGAGTGAGATTGAGAGGTTCTATGGGCAGCTGTACACGTCATCGTTGGAACCACACGCAAGTGTGAGTAACGATCCAAGAGCGAGTCTCATCCGACACTATTCCGAAGATATCCCGGACGTCAGTCTGAGCGAGATTAGAATGGCTCTCCAGCACCTTAAAAACGGTAAGGCCCCAGGCGAGGATGGAATTACAGCGGAGCTTCTGAAAGCGGGTGGAAGACCGGTACTTGAAGTCCTTCAGAAGCTCTTTAATTCCGTCCTCCATGGTGGCATTACACCGGAGGCGTGGAGCAGAAGTGCGGTGATCTTGTTCTTCAAGAAAGTTGACAACGCTCTCTTGAAGAACTACAGACCGATTTCCCTTCTGAGCCGCGTCTACGTGCTGTTGTCGAGAGTCATTACGAATCGTCTCGCGCGCAGACTTGACGACTTCCAGCCTCCCGAACAAGCCGGTTTCCGAAAGGGCTTTAGCACCATAGACCACATACATACCCTTCGGCAAGTTGTACAGAAGTCCGAAGAGTACAATTTGCCACTATGTCTGGCGTATGTGGACTATGAGAAAGCCTTTGATTCCGTCGAAATTTGGGCGGTGCTGCAGTCCCTTCAGCGGTGCCAAGTTGACTGTCGGTATATCGAAGTGTTGAAGTGCTTGTACAGTAGGGCTACGATGGCTATCCGAGTACAGAACCAGAGTACGAAACCTATCCAATTGCAGAGAGGTGTAAGACAGGGTGACGTCATATCCCCGAAACTCTTCACCGCTGCATTGGAAGACGTTTTCAAGCTTCTGGACTGGAAAGGGTACGGTATCAACATCAATGGCGAGTACATCACTCACCTTCGATTTGCCGACGATATAGTCCTTATGGCAGAATCGCTGGAGGGCCTAAGCACTATGCTCAATGACCTCAATAGTGTTTCCCAACGGATAGGTCTTAAGATGAACATGGACAAAACAAAGATTATGTTTAATGTCCATGTCACACCTATGCCGGTAGTTGTTCGGAGCACTAAGCTCGAAGTTGTTGACGAGTATGTTTACCTGGGACAAATACTCCGACTAGGTAAGTCCAACTTCGACCGAGAGGTCAATCGACGGATTCAACTCGGCTGGGCAGCGTTCGGGAAGCTACGACACATCTTCTCGTCAGACATACCTCAAAACCTTAAAACGAAATTGTACAACCAGTGCGTGTTGCCAGTGATGACTTACGGAACTGAGACGTGGTCCTTCACTGCTGGCCGTATGAGGAAGCTCAAGGTCGCTCAGCGAGCTATGGAGAGGGCTATGCTCGGAGTTTCTCTGCGTGATAAACTTAGGAATGAGGATATCCGCAGTAGAACCAGAATAACCGACATAGCCCAACGAATTAGTAAGCTGAAGTGGCAGTGGGCCGGCCATATAGCTCGAAGAACCGACAACCGATGGGGAAGAAAGGTTCTCGAGTGGCAGCCTCGTACCGGTAGGCGATGTTTAGGGCGTCCCCCCACGAGATGGAGTGACGACCTGGTAAGACATGCAGGAAGTCGATGGATGCAGGTGGCTCAGGACCGTGCTTTGTGGCATTCTTTGGGGGAGGCCTATGTTCAGCAGTGGACTTGTGAAGGGCTGTAATGATGATGATGATGATGTCCTTCAGAAGCTCTTTAATTAGGACTACTCCGGAGGCATGTAGCAGAAGTGCGGTGTTCTTGTTTAGCTTATGAAATATATTTTTAATGCCTGGGAGAATTCACAAGATGCCTTAGGTATTTTCTGTGATCTTTACAAGGCTTTCGATTGTGTTCATCATGAGACATTAATCAGGAAACTACAACATTACGGTGTAAAAAATTTGTCGCTTAGACTCCTAACTTCATATTTAAGTAACAGAACTCAAAAATCGTGATCAATGGTAAAGGTTCCTCCGGATTGGTAGTATCGATGGGCGTTCCTCGGGCTTGATTCTTGGCCCATTCCTATTGTCAATCTATATTAATAACTTACCTTATCTTGTAGGGGACAATCACGATATAGTATTATTTGCTGACGATACCTCTTTAATTTTCAAACTCAAACGCCAGTCAATTAATTATGACGATGTAATTAATGCTCTATCGAAATTGGTACATTGGTTTAACGCCAATAATATGCTCTTAAACGGCAATAAGACAAAGTGTATTAAATTTACAATACCTAATGTAAAACATTCGTATACCAATGTGCTGTTAAATGGGGAGGAGTTAAGCCTTGTGGATGCCACTGTTTTTCTCGGTATTACCATTGATGCAAAACGTCAATGGGGCTCCCATATATCTAAATTAGCAAGCAGACTTAGTTCTGCAGCATATGCTGTAAGAAAGATTAGAAGTCTCACAGATGTTGAGACAGCTAGATTAGTGTATTTTAATTACTTTCATAGAGTAATGTCTCATGGAATTTTGCTATGAGGTAATGCGACTGATTTTGAAACTATATTTGTTTTGCAAAAGAGAGCCGTTCGATTTACAACCTAAATTGTAAAGAGTCCCTCAGACAAAAATTTAAAGAAATAAACATATTAACTTTGGCATCGCAATATATTTATGAAAATAAAATTAAGAAAAGAAAATAAAAACATAAATAGCTTTAATAAAAATAAGGATGTGCATACTTTAAACACTAGGAATAAATATAAGCTTGTAATGCCAGTTACTAGACTCCACAGAATCAGTAATTCATCTATGGTGCAATGTATACGCTTTTACAACAAAATCCTAGAACATATTCAAAGTTTGTCAATAAACAAGTTTAAAAGTTTTATTAAAGAAAAACTGTACAAGAACGGTTATTATAATATCAAGGAATACATGAATGAAAATAACTCCTGGGAATAAGGTGATCGCCACCATGCTGGTTCTATGAAAAATCATTTAAAAATTGTATAAAAGAAATTATTGTTAAGTGAATTATGTTTGAAAAAAAAGTCCCGCTGGGTTTCTTGCTGGTTCTTCCCAGGACAGAGGTATTTTCTGAAACAGTGGTAAATAAAAAACGACTTTCAATAATTATTATGAAATAATCTATATTGAATAAAAAATTATTCTATTCTATTCTATTCTTCAGGAGACGCCACAAGGCTCTCTTGAAGAACTACAGACCGATTTCCCTTCTGAGCCGCGTCTACGTGGTGTTTTCGAGAGTTATTACGAATCGTCTTGCAGGCAGATTCGACGACTTCCAGCCTCCCTAACAAGCCGGTTCCCGAAAAGGTTTTAGTACCATAGACCACTTACATACCCTTCCGCAATGAAAAAGAAGACCAACGAGTAGATTCTGCCACTTTGGCTTGCATATGTGGACTATGAGAAGTTGTTAACGAGTATGTTTGCCTGGGTTAAATAGTCAGACTAAGTAAATCCAACTTCGAACGAGAGGTCAATCAATTCAACTCAGGTTGGGTGCAGCAGTGGTGGGCAGCATTCGGAAAATTACGAAACATCTTATCGTCAGGTATACCTCTAAACTTGAAATCGAGATTGTAAAACGAGTGCGTGTAGCAGTAGTTATAACTTATGGATCTGAAACGTGGTCCTTCATTGCTGGCCCTATGAGGAAACTCAAGGTCGCTCATTGAGATATAGAGGGGGCAATGCTCGAAATTTTTCTGCGTAATAAACTTACAAAAGAGGATATCCACAGTAGAATCAAAGTGACTGACATAGCCTAACGGATAAGTAGGCTGAAGTGGCAACAGACCTTTCATATACCTCAAAACCGACAACTGATGGGGGAAATGTTTTCTCGAGTGGCAGCCTCGTACCAGTAGGCGAAGTGTAGCGCGACCCCCACTAGATGGAGGGACGACCTGGCAAGAAATGCATTAAGTCAGTGAATGTAGGTGGCTTGCTTTGTGGCATTCCTTAGGGGAAGCCTATGTTCAGTAGTGGACTTATGAAGAGCCTTATGATAGGCAACAAATTTATGAAATAAAAAAATTAACCATATTGATCTTAATACAACAATCCACGATTTCATAACTTCAGACCATCTAGCCTCTATTTTACGTACCAACTTGAGACTCATTCAATTTTTGTTCGAAAAAATGATTTTTTTATTTAATGAAGTAGATGGCGTAATAAAAAATCAATTCTTCACGAAAGAAAACTTTCTTTTGATTTTTTGTCATTTATTTGCTATAAAATTAAACTTTTATGATATATTTTATACAGTAGTTGTGTTTGAAAATGATCATGTTAAATAAATCAATAACCGTAAAATATTTTTAAACTTCAACTGTATATTTCCTTTTTTAATGTGTAGAGTTTTTCTTTGCATAATAAAAACCCTGAACGTGCAATAAATTTTTTTATAAAATAATTTTAATTTTTTTTTAAAAATCTGTTAACAATTGGCAAAAATATCACATAACACCTAAAATATACAAAATTGTAAAATACAGACGAATGTAGAAACACCTTCTTTTTAATGTCTTTGGAGATCTCTTTATCAGCATCATTATGATTCTGTGAACTGATTACGTGCCCTTGCTGTTGTCTGCTTTTGTAAAAATTATCATGTTGACCAGACTTCACACATTTGACACTGCCTGTCATCCGTTCGAATATCTGTACTTTGTACCTGCGCATTTTTCATATTGAGGATGAAATTTTCACAAACAGGAAAAACTCCATTGAAGCCCCGTCACCGCTCGGCAACAAATCATTAATTACCATTCAGACAAATTAATTCCTGGATGGTGAGTGGTTAATTAAATTCATCATCATCATCATCATTACAGCCCTTCACAAGTCCACTGCTGAACATAGGCCTCCCCCAAAGAATGCCACAAAGCACGGTCCTGAGCCACCTGCATCCATCGACTTCCTGCATATCTTACCAGGTCGTCACTCCATCTAGTGGGGGACGCCCTACACTTCGCCTGCCGGTACGAGGCTGCCACTCGAGAACCTTTCTTCCCCATCGGTTGTCGGTTCTTCGAGCTATATGGCCGGCCCATTGCCACTTCAGCTTACTAATCCGTTGGGCTATGTCGGTCACTCTAGTTCTACTGCGGATATCCTCATTTCTGAGTCTATCACGCAGAGAAACTCCGAGCATAGCCCTCTCCATAGCTCGCTGAGCGACCTTGAGCTTCCTCATCCGGCCAGCAGTGAAGGACCACGTCTCAGTTCCGTATGTCATCACTGGCAACACGCACTGGGTGTAAAGTCTCGTTTTCAAGTTTTGAGGTATGTCTGACGAGAAGATGTGTCGTAGCTTCCCGAACGCTGCCCAGCCGAGTTGAATCCGTCGATCGACCTCTCGGTCGAAGTTGGACTTACCTAGTCGGACTATTTGTCCCAGGTAAACATACTCGTCAACAACTTCGAGCTTAGTGTTCCCAACAACTACCGGCATAGGTGTGACATGGACATTAAACATGATCTTTGTTTTGTCCATGTTCATCTTAAGACCTATCCGTTGGGAAACACTATTGAGGTCATTGAGCATAGTGCTCAGGTCCTCCAACGATTCTGCCATAAGGACTATATCGTCGGCAAATCGAAGGTGAGTGATGCACTCGCCATTGATGTTGATACCGTATCCTTTCCAGTCCAGAAGCTTGAAAACATCTTCCAATGCAGCGGTAAAGAGTTTCGGGGATATGACTTCACCCTGTCTTACACCTCTCTGCAATTGGATAGGTTTCGTACTCTGGTTCTGTACTCGGATAGCCATCGTAGCCCTACTGTACAAGCACTTCAACACTTCGATATACCGACAGTCAACTTGGCATCGCTGAAGGGACTGCAGCACCGCCCAAATTTCGACGGAATCAAAGGCTTTCTCATAGTCCACATACGCCAGACATAGTGGCAAATTGTACTCCTCGGACTTCTGTACAATTTGCCGAAGGGTATGTATGTGGTCTATGGTGCTAAAGCCCTTTCGGAAGCCGGCTTGTTCGGGAGGCTGGAAGTCGTCAAGTCTGCGCGCGAGACGATTCGTAATGACTCTCGAAAACAGCACGTAGACGCGGCTCAGAAGGGAAATCGGTCTGTAGTTCTTCAAGAGAGCGTTGTCGCCTTTCTTGAAGAACAAGACCACCGCACTTCTGCTCCACGCCTCCGGTGTAATGCCACCATGGAGGACGGAATTAAAGAGCTTCTGAAGGACTTCAAGTATCGGTTTTCCACCCGCTTTCAGAAGCTCCGCTGTAATTCCATCCTCGCCTGGGGCCTTGCCGTTTTTAAGGTGCTGGAGAGCCATTCTAATCTCGCTCAGACTGACGTCCGGGATATCATCGGAATAATGTCGGATAAGACTCGCTCTTGGATCGTTACTCACACTTGCGTGTGGCTCCAACGATGACGTGTACAGCTGCCCACAGAACCTCTCAATCTCACTCAAAATCTCAGGTGCCCCGGAAACGATGCTGCCACACTCTGTCTTCAGCTTTGACAGTTGGCGCTTTCTGGCAGACAGATCTCTGGCAAAGACTTTGGAGCCTTGGTTCCGCTCGATCGCTTCTTCAATACGAGCTGTATTGAATTTGCGTAAGTCCAGCCGCATGCATTTGGAGATCTGTCTGTTCAGTTGCCTGTATGCTGTCAAATCTGTTGAAGAATGTAGCTTCATCTCCCGTCTAACAGCCATGAGATTAAGAGTGTGATCGGAGAGTTTTTGTGTTCTTCTGCGGCGGGTCTTGCAGAACTTAGCTCCGACCGCATGGACAGTTTCCACGAGCTTGTCATTCAAATCGTCCACTTCATTGCAGTCTTCTAGGCACTGAAAACGGTTTTGTAACTCGAGCTGAAAGGTTTCGGGACTTTGGATTAGAGCACGAGGGGGACGGAGCGTTGACTTCATTAGACGAGACCTCTCCAACTTAACGTTTAGGTTCAGTGTGCCTCTAACCATTCGGTGATCGCTGCCGGTTTTCACCCTCGCGATCACTGAGACATCACTGAACAGTTGTCGTCTGGTCGTCATAATGAAGTCAATCTCATTTTTTGTCGAACCGTCGGGGCTCGACCAGGTCCACTTCCTGTGGGGCCGCTTCTGGAAGAAAGAGTTCATCATAAAAAGTCCCTCTTTCTCCATGAAGTCAGCCAACTGCTGGCCCCTTGGGTTCCGTTGCCCTATTCCAAATTTCCCTACTTTCAGCTCACCGTTCTCTCTTGTGCCTAGTTTTGCATTGAAGTCTCCCATTAACACCGTATATTGGGTTTTGGAGGAATGCATGGCTCTAGAGATATCCTCATACATTTCCTCCACCTCCTGATCGGGGTGTGCCGAGGTTGGTGCGTAAACCTGTATGACCTTCAGCGAATACCGTTTGGTGATTCTGAGTATAAGGTACGCAACCCTCGTCGACACACTTCCAATCTTTACAACGTTGTTAACGAGAGACTTGTGGAAGATAAATCCGACACCTCATTGGGACAGATGGTCGCCCTCCCGGTAATAGAGCAAGTTGCCGGATTCGAGGATTACCGTGTCCTCCCCCTCTCTTCGGACTTCGGATAATCCTATAATATGCCAGCGTAACTTGTCTATCTCTTCTTCCAGCTCCACAATCTTCTCGTCAGTCCTCAGGGTGCGTGCGTTGTATGTTGCCAGGTCGAGTCGTCGTAGGTGGCAACCGAACCTCCACCGGAGATTCTTAGCACCCCCTGCCCCGCCGTTACCATGGTCGCCACCGTAGCCAGGAATAGCGGGGCCGCCGGGGACTGGGGGCCGTTTATTATTGTCATTGCTCATGGGGGGTATATTGCCATAGTTGCCACGCTTGGCGAGCGGGTTCGCAACCGCAGTTTTTTTTTTTAATGTTATTTTGGCTATTATCAGGAAGATGCTGCTGCCCATCTCCTGCCTGTTTCCCTTTGTCGCCTTTTACGACACCCACGGGAAGATATGGGGTAGTGGATATTCTTAACCGCCACTACAATTAAATTGTATACTGATAATTGATTACCTCTAAATTGTAGGTTTGCGTGTTGTATTTAAATAAGTAAGGTAATGAATCCTTAGAACAAACATTTACATCAGCAGCGGAAAGTACTACCAGTGATGTTCTTATACACAACCACGTGAAAGATAACAAATAATATATTTGATCTAAACTGGTGTCAGACATTCCTTGACTGTAAACAAGAAAATTATGATTAGATTTTTTATGAAACTAAAAAGATAAACAAACTTCTAGCTACTGCAGCCCATTTGCAACTGAAGCCAATTTCGAACATGAAAAGCTACAGATCCGTTGTCAGCTCTGAGGATTAAGATAGAGTGCCTCACAGCCTGTGTTATACCGGCTCACAATTCGCTACTGGCCTTCAGATTGGAACAGTGCAGGCCCCGCTATAGGCAGAAGTAGGTAAGAGGATGTTCACTACCTGTACAGACTCCTAGGCAGAAAACGAGAGAACGAGAAGTTCTACCCAACGATTATTATGAGATAAATTTCATAAACATATTATTATTAAATTTGGAATATTCTTATTTAATACCTTTCGTTTGTGATGATACAATAATTGATATATTTTCTTATCAATGTTTTCTAGATTGAGTGTTTTTGACAGTGCGTGTCGGCGATATTTCTTTTATGCGTCGTCATGTCGTCTATGTTACCCTCCACGTTAATAATTATGTTAAAGCAATTGAGATATCATTTATCAAAATCCAACATCTAATTTGGGAACGGTGGATTGATATAAGAACGCAGATTAATGTAGTTAAACATATATATATTTATGTACAATACCACAAAATATATTACTGGTTTATGGGCTCAGTTGTAGTCGGTTAAAATATGTTTTTGTTGTTAAAACAAACCGTGTTTATCATTCGCTCACGGCTCCGTGGCGCAGTTAATTAGCAATACGTTGCTGCGCTGGGAGCCGCGAGTTCGAATCCAGCACGGAACAAATATTTGTATGGCCTAACAAATAATTGCTCTGGGTCTGGATGTTCGCCCATGTGCAATTTGTGTTTCTAAACTGCCTCCACGATACAGGAGAAAATCCAAGTTTGGGGGTAGCGTTTTTATAAAAAAAACATTCAAAGGCAAATTTTAAAGATTCATTCATCGTTTACATAAACAAGAGCCATGATATCTCAGGGCCTGAGCGCTCGCCGTAAAACGCGATCAACCCCGGTTTGATCCCTGCCAGCAACAATAACTTTATTTATTGCAATTTTTTGAAGATTTGATGAAAAACAAGATTGAAGATCGTGACAGAATCAGGAAAAAATATTCGAAGACGTTTGTAATCCGAGACACTTACTGAGCAGCAACACAGTCAATTCCCTTTATCCCTCGCAGAAATTAGAAGAGGTCTGTGCAAAGCAATGGGATGCAATAGGGCTGTATTATTTTATTTTTAGAGAAACAGAGAAAAAGGTGACTTACGTAATTCCCAAAAATAGATGTAAACATGTAAAGTAAAAATTGCACGAGTTCGATAGAAGTATTAGAGGTCCGACTAAATTGTTAACTTCACGAACGAGAGCAGCTTGTTTAACATATGCTTCCCTTATCTTACGCCACGTGTACGTTTGCAAAATATCAAGATCCTGTAACACGAAATTATGAGATATTTCGACATTTTTTCAACGAATAATATACTTTATTAAGTAATTTTAGAAAATACACGAATTTACCACTGGTAGATAAGAGTGCGCTAGCTTGTAAATTAAAATTTGAAGATATGGTCATATTCTCTACGCTTGGCAGGCTGATCGATGAGCGTAGATACAGGTGATACATATAGTCCTAATAGGGAGATACATATAGCCCTAATCTGAATGCTTAAATATTAATTTAACGCCAGATAACTATTATGTTCTTTTATATGATTCAATCCCCACTTATCTTTTATAGGACTGCTTTGCTAGTGAAAACATAGGAGCGTATATTTTTTATTATAAACACATTCTGTATGAATCAGTTCTAAGCGATAAGTGTGTTAAAAGTTTAATATACAAAAGAGATTCGTTGACAAAATAAATATAAAATTTCACTAGTTTTATGAGTCTGGGACTATACAAATTCGTTTTCGAAAACTTTGAAAGAAGTAGAGACCTCTATACTTCCGATTGCTGGACATAAGCCTCCGTTTATTTCTGATGATATTACATATTTATGGAGTAGTTATAATTAAATATTATAGAATCATTTTTATTCAATACTAGTTGATCCTGGTGCGTTACTGCAGCAGTGAAAATCATTGTGAAAATATCGTTTTCAAATTTGGAAGAGTAATATTGTTTAATTAGGAATAACAATACATTCATTGAAATTGAATGATATATACACATTAAGTTATATGTACTACGTACTAGAGAAGATTGTGCGCTACTCTATGTATTCGCGCATGCGCGGCAGATAGTAGAATCGCGCATTGGCGAAGACTTTAATTTAATATAAAATAAGATATTAATATAAAATAAAGATATAAGAATTTAATATAAAATACTAAGAGTAATATGTTATATATAATTGTAATAATAAGTTTAATCTAAACAAACATATTTCTAAATAAAATGTAATAATAACTACCTTATGGAATTCACAAATTTTCAATTTACGCAGTGTACGGATTGCAGTACAGTTCAGTTGAACATAATAAATCTAGTGCGAGTGAAATCTAGTGCGTAGTACATATATATCGATGTATATACATATAACTTTCAAATACCAATTTGTTGGTACGATACGCGCGCCACTTACTGTAAATTAATTGTACTAAGCACAAGCAATAATTTGACAAAGTTTCAGCGCAATCTGATGGACGGTATGGCAGTAATATTATATTTATATTAGATACATTATTCCAATACTAATAATTAGTTATATTAATATTAATATTAGTAAATAGTTATTGAAAGTCATTTATGCTTTTACCGCTGGTTCGGAAAAAAGCTGTGTTCTGGAAAGGACCAGCAAGAAACCCGGCGGCACTTTTAACATTAATTAACTTTTAAACATTAATAATATATTAATACGTTGTTTTTTTTTAATAACAGTGAGCACACGGTTCACCTGATCGTAAGTAAATGCTGTGGCCCATAGACATTTACATTTATCCCTAATTAAGAATCAAAATACAGATGCGTTGCCACCCCTGACTAAGTTGGAATGCCTCGTTTGCAGTAATAAGGGCCTCCGGTTTTTTACATTTACAGCACAACTGCATTGTGCTGCCATTTTACGCTGGGACTCTGTGAAAGCACCACACTCTTACAGAATACCAGCGGAAATATCCAGTCGAGCCGACCTATTCGTGGTACAATAATAATAAAGTTGCAGAATGGCTATACCACGTAATTGTACAAAATTTATGGAGACGGCAAGGGAATATATCAAAAAGAAATTATGAATTCTGAAAAGTTAAAATGTAAAATGTTAACCCGATGTTTACGACGGGTAGTAGTGTCAAAGGTGCGAGTCGTTTGGAATAGCGATTATCAATCCGCCAGATAATCGTGAGGATTGAGACAAATCATTCCTAAAACGGGAGAGCGTCATGTTCAGCAGTGGACTTTCATGGGTTCGGGCTGTGGGATATATTTATAAGATTATTTGTTGTTTGAAGTGATCAAACAAGAAAAAAACATACTTACATTTGATTTATCCATCTCCTTTTTGTTCTGAGAACAAACTGTGGCAACGTATTTATTAAGCCTTCGGTATCTTTAGGCTAAGCCCAACGTGATAAGGATCAGAAGTAAATCTTGCAAATTCCACAAAATTGTTGCAACCATGCTCAGGATCATAAGTGATATGCCAAACCAAATATTATATTCATCTGTAACACATTCAAATTACTCCTATCACAAAAATAACTGCAAAGCAGTTGAAGACTTTTCTTCATGGAAGAGGGAATATATTTTAAGCACCACTTACCACTGTGTATTGTGGTAGAAAAAGTTGGAGAGTTGGAGAGTTGGAGAGTTGGAGAAAACTTAGGTTTTTGCTTGATACTTACCTGGTCGTAATAAAAATCCATGAGATATAAGAATATATTTTTCTAGCCAGAGCGATGGTGGGCAATCAACTCCAACAAATGATATAATACCCATCATATGTTCAGCTAAAGAGGTAAATTGAATTAAGTTTTTTTTTTGGATCAGCAATAAATAACATTTTATTTTAACTAACTAACCAACACCACAAATAATGAATAATTTTTTGACTGCAGAAATTTTTTTCATTAAGTTTTTGTCTGTTAAAATACGACTAGTTACCATTGCCCGATCTAATAATATCCAAAAATCTGCTATTCTTTGCCATGAACTAGACAATTTCCAGCAGAGTATTATTGATAACACAGCATTCGCATATAACGTAGCTCCTGCTAACCGTGCTGTAACGCTCCCTGTAATAGAAAACAAAATTGAATAGTTATATATAATTTATATTAATTTTGGCCAGTTTTATTATTTTTTTAGGATTTTTAAATAATATTCAAAATTCATAATATAGAAACAGAAACAGAAACAGAAACTTTTTTATTCAATATAGATTATAAATAATACTTATTGAAGGTCACTCTTTGTTTGATTACCACTGGTTCGGAAAAAAACCTCTGTCCTGGGAAGAACCAGCCAGAAACCCAGCGGGACTTTTTTTTAAAAATTACAGCTTACAATCATGATGATACACAAATTAACAACGCAACAAATTAGAAACAGCTTGGTAGCGATCACCTCATTTCCAGGGGTTATTATAATCCATAAATTCCTTAATATTATATTAACCCCTTTTTATACAAACTTACTTTAATAAAGTTTTTGAACTTTGAACAGGTCAAACTTTGTATATTTTCTGGAATTTTGTTGTAAAAGCGTATACATCGCCCCAAGAATAAATTACTGACTCGATGGAGTCGAGTATCTGGTACTACTAGCTTGTGTGCTTGTAGGAACAGCCTAGTATTTACAGAATGAATATCACTTATTTTTGTAAAACTACTTTTATTTTTGTGTACGTACATTACATTTTCATAAATGTATTGAGATGTCAAAGTTAATATATTAATTTCCTTAAATTTTTGTCGCAGCGACTCTTTAGGCTTTAAATCACAAATTGCTCTTATGACCCTCTTCTGTAAAACAAATATAATTTCAGTGTCAGCTGCGTGTTCCCATAGCAAAATACCATACGACATTATGCTATGGAAATAGCTGAAGTAAACTAGTCTAGCTGTTTCAACACTGGTTAGACTTCTAATCTTTTTTACAGCATATGCTGCAGAACTAAGTCTGCTTGCTAGTTTTGACATATGGGGGCTCCATTGAAGCTTCGCATTTAGTGCGATTCCAAGAAAAATGGTGGTATCTACAAGACTCAGTTTCTCCCCATTTGAAATTACATTAGTATTTAATTGTTTGACATTTGGAGTCATGAATTTCATACATTTCGTTTTATTGCAATTTAAATGCAAATTATTAACATTAAACCAATTTACTAATTTAGATATAGCATTATTTACTTCGTCATATTTTAGTAATTGTCGATTTAATTTTAAAATTAAAGAAGTGTCATCTGCAAATAATACTATATCATGGTTATCTCCTACTATGTAAGGTAAGTCATTAATGTATACAAGAAACAGAAAGGGGCCGAGAATTGAGCCTTGAGGCACGCCCATTTGTACCATCGATCCGGAAGAGCTCATATTATTAATGACAACTTTTATAAGTAATATTATGAATTTTGTATATTATTTAAAGTTTATATTTAAATTATTTTATTATTAACTTTAACTAATTTTTTTTATTATTTTATTAACTTTAACTAATATACAAAGTTAAGGCTTATATCTTACGTAAAATTTTAAATATAATAAATAAATTAAGTATTTGTACTTACTATGCCCTGACGTGCTCGCCGCCCAGCCTGCGAGCGCCTTTATTACTTTCCATATCGCACCAATTTCAACAACTGTTAAAACGAATATCAATGCCATGCCCCAAAGTTTCCAGTAATATTTACTAGTAGAACCACCGATTCCCAACCAACGTGCCCAGCGAAACATTGCTAACATTGACTTTAAATAATCCTGAAAATGACATATTTAAGTTATTGACATTGGGTTCCATTTAGTGCATATTGCTAAAGAAGTTGAACCATAGGACGTAGGCGACAACAATAAAAGTACACCCATTATATAAGGTCATAAAAGAATAAAAACAGTTTTAAAATAAAAAAAAATAGACGCTTCTTATAATCCCGTATTTTTGATTTTCCATTTAGGGAGTAACTGTAATTAAAGTAGTAGGTAAAAAAATATTCACTTAAACACATTCTTAAAAAAATAAACAAATATGTATACATCACGATATGGTGACGTTGATTGCGACGGAACAAGTTTGTTTGCATTTTAACTAATGTAGCTAAAATCGATGTCTTTTCGAGTTGAAATAATCAGGTAGTAGAGAAAAATCTAAAAACGAATAATTAGTAATACGTATTCCAAGTCAATGAAGTTTGGAGCACTGAAAGGTAACTAAAAGGTAACAAAGTCCTTGATAAATAGCAAATTGATAATTAAGGAGTTGCAAAGTTAATATAACTTCCAGTATTATTAGACCCTCCTCAGGTCGTATTGTTCATCATCATTACAGCCCTTCAAGTCCACTGCTGAACATAGGCCTCCCCCAAAGAATTCCACAAAGCACGATCCTGAGCCACCTGCATCCATCGACTTCCTGCATGTCTTACCAGGTCGTCACTCCATCTCGTGGGGGGACGCCCTACACTTCGCCTACCGGTACGAGGCTGCCACTCGAGAACCTTTCTTCCCCATCGGTCGTCGGTTCTTCGAGCTATATGGCCGGCGCACTGCCACTTCAGCTTACTAATCCGTTGGGCTATGTCGGTTACTCTGGTTCTACTGCGGATATCCTCATTCCTAAGTTTATCACGCAGAGAAACTCCGAGCATAGCCCTCTCCATAGCTCGCTGAGCGACCTTGAGCTTCCTCATACGGCCAGCAGTGAAGGACCACGTCTCAGTTCCATAAGTCATCACTGGCAACACGCACTGGTTGTACAATTTCGTTTTCAGGTTTTGAGGTATGTCTGACGAGAAGATGTGTCGTAGCTTCCCGAACGCTGCCCAGCCGAGTTGAATCCGTCGATTGACCTCTCGGTCGAAGTTGGACTTACCTAGTCGGACTATTTGTCCCAGGTAAACATACTCGTCAACAACTTCGAGCTTAGTGTTCCCAACAACTACCGGCACAGGTGTGACATGGACATTGAACATGATCTTTGTTTTGTCCATGTTCATCTTAAGACCTATCCGTTGGGAAACACTATCGAGGTCATTGAGCATAGTGCTTAGGTCCTCCAGCGATTCTGCCATAAGGACTATATCGTCGGCAAATCGAAGGTGAGTGATGTACTCGCCATTGATGTTGATACCGTATCCTTTCCAGTCCAGAAGCTTGAAAACGTCTTCCAATGCAGCGGTGAAGAGTTTCGGGGATATGACGTCACCCTGTCTTACACCTCTCTGCAATTGGATAGGTTTCGTACTCTGGTTCTGTACTCGGATAGCCATCGTAGCCCTACTGTACAAGCACTTCAACACTTCGATATACCGACAGTCCACTTGGCACCGCTGAAGGGACTGCAGCACCGCCCAAATTTCGACGGAATCAAAGGCTTTCTCATAGTCCACATACGCCAAACATAGTGGCAAATTGTACTCTTCGGACTTCTGTACAATTTGCCGAAGGGTATGTATGTGGTCTATGGTGCTAAAGCCCTTTCGGAAACCGGCTTGTTCGGGAGGCTGGAAGTCGTCAAGTCTGCGCGCGAGACGATTCGTAATGACTCTCGAAAACAGCACGTAGACGCGGCTCAGAAGGGAAATCGGTCTGTAGTTCTTCAAGAGGGTGTTGTCACCTTTCTTGAAGAACAAGACCACCGCACTTCTGCTCCACGCCTCCGGTGTAATGCCACCATGGAGGACGGAATTAAAGAGCTTCTGAAGGACTTCAAGTACCGGTCTTCCACCCGCTTTCAGAAGCTCCGCTGTAATTCCATCCTCGCCTGGGGCCTTACCGTTTTTAAGGTGCTGGAGAGCCATTCTAATCTCGCTCAGACTGACGTCCGGGATATCTTCGGAATAGTGTCGGATGAGACTCGCTCTTGGATCGTTACTCACACTTGCGTGTGGCTCCAACGATGACGTGTACAGCTGCCCATAGAACCTCTCAATCTCACTCAAAATCTCAGGTGTCCCGGAAACGATGCTGCCACATTCTGTCTTCAGCTTTGACAGGTGGCTCTTTCTGGCAGACAGATCTCTGGCAAAGACTTTGGAGCCTTGGTTCCGCTCGATCGCTTCTTCAATACGAGCTGTATTGAAATTGCGTAAGTCCCGCCGCATGCATTTGGAGATCTGTCTGTTCAGATGCCTGTATGCTGTCAAGTCTGTTGAAGAATGTAGCTTCATCTCCCGTCTAACAGCCATGAGATTAAGAGTGTGATCGGAGAGTTTTTGTGTTCTTCTGCGGCGGTTCTTGCAGAACTTAGCTCCGACCGCATGGACAGTTTCCACGAGCTTGTCATTCATATCGTCCACTTCATTGCAGTCTTCTAGGCACTGAAAACGGTTTTGTAAC